CGTGGCAGCCCATAGCCGCCGCTGGCCGCCTTTGTTATAGGAGCAAAATCGTCAAAATCTTACTACTTTATGGCTCCCGCATACGCTTTTCATCTTCTACGCTTATTTCTTCTTATTACCGCTAATATGGAGTTCAGCTTCCCCACAATACTTTGTGTTCATTGTTCTGTCCCGCACATTGTATCCTATCGCGCTCACACTCTTTTGCAGTCTGTTTTATTCAAAAAGGTGTGACCGATTTTTGAAGCCAGAAGAACTCCGCCCGCAAATGAATCCCGGCGAACTTGCGAAATAGTAGAATGCAAGTTAGATATGCACCGATAGCCAAGGAAATGAAGCAAAAGCATACTAAAAAAACATTGCACACCTGTAGAAACCGGACGCATCAAAGTTAGAGCGAATTACACCGGAAAGAATCTTCTGCGAACTATTGTTCAACAGGATGATCATACGGCGAGAAGGTGATGACAACAATGGACACATATATAATATGTGATCATGCGTGCAGGCGGCAACAAAAGAAAAGCGTAGAAGATGAAAAGCGTAGACAGGAGTACTCAAAGTTGTAAGATTCTGATAATTTTGCTCATATAACGAAAGCGGCCAGCGGCGGCTACGGGCTGCTACGAGCTGCTAGCGGCGGCTGCCGGCGCGGTATGAAGGCACCCTAAACACGAATATCATATTCATTTGTTGAATCAGCGCCTCTTTCCTTGTTTAGGATGGGACCCTATATCGCACACCTACAAAAATCTTACAAAAAAGCCCCTATCAAGCAGCTTTGGTATCATTTTCGTGATCAGATGTCGAACAACCCCCCCTTCCCCACCCTATGCCAAGTTTCAGTCAAAACTGTCAAATTTTTTAATTTTTCCCTTCATACCATATACCAAGTTGAGTGAAAGGAAAGTTATTGAATGAGCTGCAAAACTTAGCTTCCAACCTAATACCAGAACAATGCAAAAAGGGCTCGCATAATAAATGAAACCATGCCCTTATTGCAAGCAAGTCAACACTTCGCAATTCCTGCGACGTATTTCCGATTCCCTACCACCGCAATCGCAAAAGAACAACGCCTGTGTTACATGCTTATCCAAATATTATTCAACGAAAGAATGTAGGTCGAAACGAAGTTGCAAATATTGCAAACAACGTCATCGCTTATCGATATGCTGTTCTCAGCCTCAACAACAGCTTCAGCAACGATCACAAGCAACAGACATGAGGCATCCCAAAACGACAAATTCATAAGGTGCAAATACCATCGTTGAATAAGCTTCCGCACCTACTCCTGCGCGAGACTAGTGAAGATGCGACTTTAACAGTAATCACTCGCAGCTCCACATTGCCTCCACATCAAGAGCCCAAACCCAGAGTGGCGCTCAGGTGTGCTACCATCAGACTGTATAATCCACCAAACGCTTTTCTTCTAGCACAAGCAACAGCCTTGACTTTGGCAAGTCATCACCGATGATATAGCTAAATTTCACAACTACCCACGCTCAACCAAGGCAATCTCCTTTTCTACCTTCGGAAGCAAAAATCTCCTTCGATTAATGTCAAGGAACAACAAAATCAAGGGGAAAAAGTGCTCGAAGTAAAGTTTCTGCCGTCAATTACAGACTTTCGCGCAGATTCAGCATGCTCAACGTATCTAAACCACAAGTAATTTGAAATTGTACATCAGTTCTCATCGGCAGCGATTACTTTTGAAAAATGATCTTGTCAGACGACTTTTACGAGTAAATCCTGACCACTGGATGTCATCTACTTCACACCAAGTGGAGCAACATCCTTATAGGCACCACTGAATCTAAAAGACTTCGGTAGATGAGCAAGTCTTTGCGCTCGTAACAATATCTACAACCCTATCCATCATGACAAGCTCAGTCAACTTGTCAGTAAGTTTTGGAACTTGGAATCAATGGCACACAGAAAGACGACGACATATGATTGAATACGCAAGTCTTGTTCAGCTTCATATACTCACCATTTCTTTCCTCCGCCACCATTCATCGTTACCCGACTACAGTGTCAATTCCTCTATCCTAAGACCTTTAAGAAACACGTACGTGAATAACGCATTTTATTCTATGAAATCACAAGCATCGAAGAAGGTATAAGTTATTACAACGACTGCAGAAAGCTTTTTGTTCAAGCAGGAAAGAATCTACGAATCTCAATAACTCTTCTGATTCAACAAATTTTTCATAACAAAAGAAAAAAGCCAAATCGCAGCAGTTCCGAAGCTTTTTGGAATCTGGGATGTTTTTAACGATGAAATTCCCCCCCCCCCTTAAACACCTGTGGAAGGGATTAGCCAAAAAAAGCTTGGCCAAAAAAATCCTGAAAGAAGTAGCCAGCATCTACAACACACTAGGCTTCATCACTCCTGTCACTGTTCAGAAAACTATCTCTCCAATCATTTAGAACAGAACTCAAATGGGATTATTCATTACCAGGAAATAGGTCGATGAACGGAAAGGTCAATGAAGCGCAGAACCGCAGACTACTCAAAAACTGTGACAATTTAACCATGCAGTTCAAGCTCCATTATTTACCGACGCTTTAAAAAACGTCCTGTGCAGCGACATAACTTGTTTAAAACTTCGTAAAAGCTCCACTTAAATTATCCTCCTTCATAATGTCAAAGTCACGCCTAGCTCGTCAATCGGTTCCCATACCACAACTGAAGCATCCGCACTTGTCATAGGAGCTAAACTACTCAACTTCGTTGCCGAAAAATCAGATGTCTACATACGCGAAAAGTTCCTACGGTCTGACAGCACGATTTCTCCAAATTGGGCACAAATTTGGAAAGAACTCCCTGTTTTTGAACGAAACAGAAAAACCAGTAAAAAGCTGGCCTTACTTTAAAATACCCACAGAATAGAACCCGTCGGATATCGCTACCCGTGGAGCCACTATAACCGAACTATTACATCACTGTGGCGTCATGGTCCAGAAATTCTCACTCAAAATGAAACAGATTGGTCGCCTCCCCATTCAAGGGATTGCTGAAGCAAACAACTCCTTCACCAGGGCAACAGCGATTCAAAAATCAGAAACTCACACCCCTTTGGTATCACTACTAATTAACATTGCACAACTCACAACAAAAAAAAAACGAAGAGCTTACCGTCTTTGTTGAAACATCCAAATTTAGTACTTCGAACTCACCAATACTAACAGAAGTCTTCGTTCTACGCTTTCTTGTAACAAGATTAAAAAGAGCAACAAAACACTTCAGAACGTCTAAGACCTTGGACAGAGTTCAGGCAATTTGATCATCGCGATTTGTCGCTCAGTGTTACGAGTTCATTAAATACCGTTCTTCTTGCACTTCGGTTGTGATAGTCAGTCACTACGTGTTGGAAATCTATCACAACCGAAATGCAAGAAGATCGGCATGCAATGATGTTGTTACATGTCTTGTCGCGATCAGTCGAGAAGATGAAATCGCGTGAACTCTTCCCGAGGCCTAAATCAGTACTTCGTAACGAGGGGTAAATTAGTCTGTTATGTCTCGCCGAAAATCAAGATCCACCGTCATGTGATCATATGAAACAACTACACCTGTTTGGGTGCAAGCCAAACAGGTGTAGTTTTTAACAATTTGTGATCAAAAGGACCACCGAAAGCGCACTGTTAGCACAGGGCTAAATTTAGACAATCGAACGCCCATAGTTTCTCCTAGAGAAGCTCGTAGCAAACAGGAGAGGTAGATTTGAGATCAGCTCAACAAAACGCATCTAATGATATGCCTATCATTCGGCTCGCCACTGCGATCTGGTATCCTTCCTTTGTTAGAAACAAGCTCAGCGTTGTTGCGAGAAATAATCAGTACAACTTTGAGTAACTTTTGCTAATTTGAAAGAAAACAAAAATGATGTCGAACAAAAGAAGTTTGGTCGTTTGGGATCATTATCATCTTAAAAGCTGGAAAAGGCGGGTCATACAAGCTTTCGCTCATTTTCTATGCTTATAGTGAAGGGTCGTAGGAATATTGGTGAATCAACAGCGTTGAATCAGATAAAGGGTATTCGTCGACGACTGCCCCGACTCGTGCAATTACACCACCTTTGGCGTGCCTTATTGGGGCCTTTTCAGCTTGACAAAACGCTGCTGCAGCGAGCGGAGACTTGGTAACTCGCAGCATCCCTGTCCTTTCTCTATCTTGTCCTGTCCTACTGTCAAGCTGGAAAGGCTCCAAAATAAGCACGCCCACGATGGTGTAGTTGCACTAGTTGGGGCAGTCGTCGACGAATATCCTTTATGTTGAGGCTTTAGGATATTAAGCTTTCTTGCAAGCTGCTATCTCGTCGTTGACGGGAATGTTGGTGCAAGCGGACTTTAGCTCGCAACCGACTGCTGGTATCTGATTGAGAGAGATTTGCGAAGAAATCCACTTTATACCTTGAATGCATTTCAAAATTTAGCTATAAAAATCAAATAAGCAAAATTTGAGCTTTTAGTTTCCACATTGCAGTTGGCATTTCATGATTGTAGCTTTAAGGATCGCGAAGGAAGATTGACAATAAAAAGCCGGGCATACTTTACGCGATTTCAGTCGCGACGCGATTTGGAAATTCGCCAGAAGTCTTCAGATCCAACATTAGCAGACTGCACATGCATAATGTGTATAACTTACATGGATTGATAAAATGCCCTATCTTCTGTACATTTAAAATCTGCTTCAGGTAGTTAAGGGCAGTTAAAATATTGCTAAATCGCTTCGCGACTGAAATTGCGTGAAGTATGCCCGCCCGTTAATGCAAATTCGGAATATTTTCATTTTGTACGATAGCTCTCTAAGTCGATTAGCTCAAGCCTTTTGAACCAAAGTGAAAAAATAATGAAATCATAGTATAACAGCTATTTGAATCAATTCAAATTGTTTGAAAAGTTTACAATTTACGATATCGACAACGTAAAGTTCAAATTCTTTTTCAGCCGACAAAGTCTTGCTGCTGCAGTATGATGAGTTTCTTTGTTTTCAGGTTCTACAACTATGCATCAATTGGTTCTATTATCTCTCATGAAATGATGCATTCATATGATAATACTTGTACGTCGTTCTTCTCCAATTTGAGGAACTAATGAGAGAGCAATGCTTACAAGTCAATATATTTGACCGTTGTTGCTTGTGTCTCTGACAGATTAGGGCTTCTACGTAACCATTGGAATTATAACGTGGTGCAATGGCGGCGTATGTTAATTTAATCAAACGGATTCAACACATACCCTCTTGTATTATTTCTTAACATTGTCTCCATCCTGTTATAATTACAAGTATAACTTCAAATTCGCTCATCACAGCTGAATCTTCAACCATTGAATTCGTTAAGTTCTGAGGGAAACTTAGCTCTGACAGTTTTTCAACTCCTTTTTATTTTTGGTTTTCCACAGTAGATTCGCAGAATACACTAAAATCGCAGATGCTTGGCATTAAACAACTTGGAAAGTTGTTATAACCACTCAAACGAAAAGTCAGTTAAGACTTTAAGGCCGTTATTTGCCTCATCACCTACTCAAACAATAGCCGGGAGCAGGCGGTTCGCAAACTCACGTTTTTTTGCAAGCGGTCAGCAAAATTTTGGGGGTGGCAAAACCCTCAGCAAGCAATACCTCCGTGTTTCGCTAGCGGGCAGCAATACAAAATTTTCTGCAAGCGCTTGTCAATCTTTCAGCAAGGGCTGGCCAGTTTCCAGCAGACGCTCCGACTCCTTTTTACGCGGTTTTGAGCGTAGGTGAAGCTCTGGTGAAGCTCTGTGTGTCAAAGGTGAAGCTCTGTGTGGGGGAGGTGTCATCGCTGGTTTGATTACCCGAGTTTGGTATACTTTCTCTTTGCGGGAGCTACCCACGGGCTGTGCGGTTCTTCACAAAGAACCGTGTGGCTCCAATATTATTGCATATTCTCGCAAAAAGCCCACAAAAAGCGGCTACTGCGCCGCAACCTATCCAGAGAGACACCGCGATAGTTTTCCGAGCATCCGAGCAGAAAATTGGCCAACATTTTTCTAGATGCTCGCAAGGAACTGCAAGAAACTAAACAACGAACTATTTTTTTTGATGCCTGCTTGCCCAAAACCGCAAATGGCCGCCTGCCTTCTGCGATTATCTGAGTATCTATGATACCTCGCTACAGCTCTTAGGTGTTTCTCTACCGGTATAGGTCAAAATCGTAGATGATGCTTCACATGCTTTGAAAGCCTTTTCCGTGAGAATGCTAACAACTGAATGAGGTCATTATAGCCTATATCTAAAGAAGCCTTGAGGAAAACTTGAGGTTAAGCTTAATTTAGGTTCTGGCTCGTCAAAGTTCGGGTGGAGGCATCAAGTCATGCAGTTCACATTTTCTATAGGGACTCAGGGCACTACTCGATAGAGCAAAGCAAGCCCTACATGGTCCACAGAAGTGCACCTCAACTCCGACCTACTTTGAGTTTGCATCCAAAATGTGAGTACTGGAGGCTCAGAAAATCGCGAAAAATTCATATTTTCACTTAAAAAACCCTACGAATCTCGAACTTGCCCACAAAAATTGTACATTAAATCAGACACTCAAATGTACCGTTTCTAAAATTCTTCCTTGTTTAGAAATCAAGAAAACGAAAATTCAGGTTTCCACAAAAACGAAGCTGAGCTGTTTCCATTATGTAGTTGTATACTAAAATCCTTTAATGGTGCCATAGATTTTCAGTCTTCAAAGGCCTCAGTTTTCGAAAAATATTGATTTTAACTCTCCTCACTCGGGTGTTTCATGCTAAAATCAATATTTCTCGAAGAGTAGAGCTTATGGAAAGCGGAAAACTTACGGTTATATTTTAAAAAGATTTAGCGTACAATTACATGAGTGAAAACAGTTTAGCTTCATGTGAGTTGAAAATTTTCGTTTTTTTGATTTTTAGACGAGGAAAAAATACAGCAGCGGTACACATGAGTGTCTGATATAGTGTGCAATTATTTTGAGCAAGCTGGAGATTCGTAAGTTTTTTTTGAACAAAGATATGAATTTTTCGCGATCTTTTGAGAATTCAGTACACTGACATTTTGGACGCAAACTTAAAGTGGTCGAAGCTGGGGCGAACTTTTGCAGACCATCTTGTGGGCTTACTTTGCTCTGTCGAATAATGCCCTGAGTCCCTGTAGAAAATATGTATTGCATGACTTATCGCCGTAAGAAGTCGCAGTGTTTCAAGACTTATGTTACAATTTAATGGATGCTGCAATGGGGTCGTGCTTCCACTATGTCTGAGATGCTAACTTTTTGTGAATTTAGTCAAGGTGCAATATCAACAGTTTACGTTTTCCGCAAGCACTTGTAGTAAGCGTCGCTGTTTCAATGATCATTTATTACATCTTTGCCATAGAGACTAAAGTGTTGAAGTAAAAAGAATCCAAACTATTGCAGATCTCAGAAAACTTACCATATGACCATTTGGGCCGGTAGTAATTTCCCGACCTGGCGGCAGGTCTCGCTGGGCAGGTCGAAACTACAACGCCAAATTCAAGCCATCCCAGCCCTTTTTCCAAAAAAATTTTCTCAATGGAGATGCCTGTCTCGACTCTGTGGAAACCTCCATCGAAATTTGCCGTTCCAAGAATCATCCTGTGGGAAAATATCTAGAAGCGCAGGAGCTGCCGGCAATTTTGCGAGATCAGTTGCCGGCAACATGCCGGCAGCTCGTCGGAATTTGCGAGGTGGCAGCTGCCGGCAGGTCAGAGAGCGCGAAAAATACTGGGGTGCTCTTTTGAGAAAGAAAGCTGTCAGCATCTTGACGTGACTCCTACCACGTGGTGCTAGCACCTTTGCCGACGACGTCTGTGAGTTTGGGCATTGCAAAAATATCACACAATTCACGTATCAGCCAACGACCCAAAATTTCTATTTTTTCGAAAAATCATCATTCTTGTCATAATTTAACTTTTTTTTGATTGAACTGATTATATGGAAGAAAGAAAAGTCGTTTGTAGTTAGACACAAGTGAGCATTGTGTTGTTCTTTCTGTGTTACTTCTAGTATCCTGTTTGAAAGGTTTTGGTGAATATCCATTGTCCATTCAATCAGCTGTTCTTTTAAGTCAAAGTCTTTCACGTGATGTGTTGATCATGTCGTTTTAGAGGTGGCCGCAAACCTGTGCGTTTCAGCTCGTGCAAACAAAATCATTGACCGAATGGGTGAGTGGTTAGAGCAGCAGCGGTTGAAGTAAACGCATGCAGATTCGAACGCGCGTAATCTCACTGTTTTGCGGCTAACTGTGTCATCAAAATTTCGTGTGCATAGCGATTGTAGAGTAAGTTTGTTTAAGATTGTTGGAACCTACAATCCACCCGCGAGCTGCCGCCAGAGTTGGCAACTTTCCGCGATATGTGCCAACTTGCCGGCATCTATGATGCCACCAGGTCGGATAGATTAACACCGGCCCTGGCGTCTGCATAACATCGTCCCCGACAATCAATTATGATAGCTAATGATCGCTAAACTGCTTGCGGAACCCAAGTTCTTTTGCGAGTCATTATTATTTGAAGTGTAGCAATCGTGAACAAGCGGTCTACCAATTGACTATCATGGAAGAAATTGTAGGTTTGCGAACGGATTAGTAATATAACAATGCTTTGTAAGTATTAAGGTACCTTAAGCAATCAATCATTTGTCAAAAAGCTTTTGCTTGACAAGAGGGCTTTTCTTTAGAAGCCAGTCGACCATTTTTTGCAAAGTCTCTAAGCTTTTTCTGTCATCTGGACCCATTTTTCAAAAACCACATACGCTCTTTAGCCTAGAACATTTTTTCGCAGGTCCCACATGAAATGGTTTCTTTGCCACATGTCAGAGAGAATTGATACATTTGACCTGAAATGATATCCACGAAAGTCCCCGCGAAATGGGCTTTTGGTGCGATCAAAATGGGCTTGGTCCATGCGGTGCGATAAGATATCGCATTCGCGAATCCATTCATTCCATACAAAACTACTTCAGCAAACCCTTCACCAACTTGTCTCAACCTGTTTGCTCACTCTTGCAAACTCATTTCCACCAAGTGGTCGGTAACTGACTAGGCTGACCTAACATTACTATGTAGTCACATGGATATTCTAGAGAGCTTCTGAGTAATTATATTGGAACGCGTCTTCTTTATTTTCAAATAAAAATCATGAATTTAGTTTGGCTTGATGATTTGAAGAGCTAACAAGCTTTATTTGATTTACAAAGAAATTTTCGTATCGATCTGATATTTGGGAGCGTTAGAGTTTGTTAGCGAATGTTTTGCTGAATTTAACCTTCTTCCATGATTTTTATAGCGTTTGTATGAGTTTAGAAAGAAACACTTATTTCAAACTTCATAATAGACATTAAACGTTTTCCACTCACTTATTATTAGGTTGTTGCATAAGTTCTGTCCGACTTGAATTTTTTGAGTTCAGAACGTGTAACTTCTTTAAAAGTCAACGTTTTTCCAAGATCTTAGTTTTTATGTGTTGAGCAGTTTTTTGGCTATGAAATACATAGTGAGACCTGCGCAAATCCTTGTTGAGGAAGAAGCAAGAATGCAAAAACTTCACAGCGTTTTTCTTCAAATCTGTCTTTTTTGACATGGCAACGCTCCCTTATGAGAATTGATAAACATCTTATCTAACAATGGATAGAGCGAAAAATTTTCGTAGATTATTATGCAACGTAAAACAGCCCATAGGATCTATGCTGCTGGGAGATTTTTTTGACCGAGCAAAAAAGAAGCCACTTTTTAACCTCGCTTTAGCACATGTGTGCATGCCTAATTACGAATTATGAAAATTTTACAATTGAGTGAGCGCCGAAAAGAAATTGGTGGATGGTCTCTGCTAGTCCTTGCTTTACCCTAGCACCTTCAACTTTGAAGTCGTCGATTAAAGTTATTGCCTGTAAAACATCTATACAAAAAATTAATGTTCGACGATAAATTTTACTAGCAAGACGTTTTTTTTCACGGAACCCAACTTCTGCACATACTCAGATAATCGCCGGGGGCAGGCGGCCATGCGATTTATGGGCGGGCGGGCACCGGAAAAATAGCTCGCTGATCTCTT